TTGAAACATTTCCCCAAATCTGATGAGCATCAAATTCAATATATCTTAAGGTTTTTTTTTTGAAAATGTCTTTGTGAAATGTAAAGTGCTATGATCAGATTATTATTGTATTATTAGGAAGAGTTCCCTTTTATGTCTCTAGGGAGAAATGTGCTGCTTGACGAAATGAAACAAGGCAATCAATAATGAATTTTCATGTATGTTAGAAAAGTTTATAAGCTCAAATTATCTCCTTAATACGTTTACAAGAACATTTTTTTGCTAAAGAATGTCATTTAACTGCCATCCTGGTTCAGTGCAAATGGCCCATGGACCACCAGTTGATAATCACAGTTGTTTCTTGTTTTGCGGCTCTGGACACATTTTATTAGTGAGCCAAGTAGCAGAAATGGCTCTTTTGATCATAAAGGTTGCAGACCCCTGCCCTAAATAGTTCTTACCTAAAGAAAGCATAGTGCTCCATAACTGTGGAACGCAGGGATGGTAAGTCCTCAATTTGAGCACCGTAAATGGCTGGCATGCCACAGGAGGCTATCCAGTCACCAAAGTCCTCCTTTAATGTTTGAAGCTCCTCCGGTGTTGAGCAGTTCCAAACCTTCAGAAAAGAAACATTTATACCAATTGCGTAATATTATTATGGGGCTCCTTAAAAGATTTAAGTGTATTTATTATGTTTGTGATTTGTATACTGTCCTCCAGATCATTCCATAATTTAATTCCCTGGACTGAAGTACTTTGTTCCTTCAAACTGGTTCTAATTTTAGGTTTGACCAACATGTCAATCCCCTTCAAATTGTAACAACTCACCCTTTTAACTAAATGTAATTGGATGTTTGAAGGGAATGTATTTTTATGGGCCCTATGCATAATTGACAAAATACTAYAATCAACCAAATCAGAGAATTTCAATAACTTCAACTGATGGAACAATGAATTTGATGGATGACTGTAATGTTTTCTAGTAATAATTCGTATAGCTCTTTTCTGTAAAATGAAAGCAGGATTTGTTATTGCTTTACAAGCTTTTCCCCAAACATCAATACACTAAATTAAGTGTGGAACAATTATTGCATTATACAATATAAACAGAGTTTTATCATTAATTAAGTCCTTTACTTTGTATAATACAGAAATGGATTCGGCTATTTGGCCATTGTAGTGCCGACCCACCATATTTACTTAAATTTTCAAGCAGAATACTGTGATCAGTTGTGTCAAATGACTTTTTTTAATCTACATAAACACTCAAACAATACTGTTTTTGATCGACAGCAGTTGATATTTGCTCCATAAATTCCATAAGAGCCATTGATGTGGAATTTTTAGCTCTTAATCCATACAGACTGTTACTTAATATATTGTGCTTTTCAATAAATTCATCCAATCTGGTGACAAATACATTACCTTTTCAATGTTCTGCTGGATGACAGGGTCAACAGGAAGCTCTGGGACCTGTGCAGGGACATCGGGCCTCTGACCACACATCATCAAGTAAAGTGTGCTGTTAAGTCCACGAGGGCCAGGGCCATCATGGAAAATTGACCATGCGGTCAGCTTTCCTGCCAGGAAGTATTTCTTTTTGTCTAGTGCCTCCCTGTCATAGACAAAAAACAGGTTTCCCTGCCGACCTTCAAATACTCCGAGTGAGGAGTGAACTTCCATCATCAGAAGTCTGGAAACAAAAGATCATACATAATGATCATTACAAGAGCAGTTTGTTGTAATGTGAATGACAATGAAAATGTTTATACCTAAGAAATTCCCTTTTGGGGCCCCCGTAGTCGT